GTCAAAAACAAAGCCCAGAAGTCACTCTCTCCTTATTCTTATAACATGCTGGTTGGCTCACCAAAGTGCTGGTAATACAAATGGTGTAATTTTCCAAAATACACAGAAATGATTTGCTACCTGTATGGGGAATTAATAGTGATTTCAGTCTCTTAATAAGATGCACATGAATGAGTCTTCATTGCCTTTATTATGACACTGTGTTATGCTCTCTCTGAATGAATAACAATCCACTAACGAGAATATTGTATGTCTCCCATGTATCTGACCTCTTAATTCCCTGTTCAACAGACACAAAATGTGACTCTCAAACTATTGTGATTAGATAAAACTTTGAAGATGCTAATATAAAATATAACCCTAGCTTTGCATTAATTATAATTGTCAATTTCAAAGTTATTAGTAATTTCTTATATATGCAAACTATTGTTGCTAAGAAAATAAGCCTAGGTGAAAGACAGCTGTGGGCACTGCAGACCTCTCTGACAGTCGCAGCAATCCGAACACCCTCATTGCTCTCTTCTGCTTGACTGAGATCAGATAGATTCCTTCCTGCCTGCAGGCCCTGGGGCTCTTCTTTCTTAGAGCTTTTACTTTAGAAATCTTGCAATTGTAAATTATTTCTCTGACCCTTTGAGATGGAAATATTTTACAACCAATAAATGTCTTTCACAAGGAACCAAGAGCCATACTTTTGAAATGTCATCATCAATCAATCAATCAATCGTAGTGCTCCTGTCTCCCACTGTCTTGGTAGAGTAAAGGCCCAACACTGCCATGTGCCTTTTAGAAGCCCCTTAGCCTAGCAGACTGGCCATCTACTCCCTCAAAATCTTAGGGCACTTTTCTGCTGCCTCCCCCAGACTTAAAGTCTCAGGCTTTTAGTTTTGGTGTGTTTGGGTTTGATCTCTTTCCCCTACTAAAAGACTTGGCCCCTTTTTGCAATAGTCATGGATAATGTTTTTCTTGCCCGTTTAATTCCATCCAGTGCAATGGGTCATTCTCCAAAATAGTCCACATATTCGCTCATAGAACATGTTTAAGTAAGTGCAAAGGAATTGAAGTTATCCCCTGTATATTATCAGACCATAATATGATGAAATTGGAGATCAATAGCAAAAGAAACCAGAAAAATTTCATAAACACATGGAAATTGAACAACATACATCTGAATAACCTATGGGTCGCAGAGGAAATTAAAGAAGAAATCAGACAGTTCCTGCAATTAAA